CCCTCTTTTTATTTCTTTATGTTTTTGAGACAGAGTCTTATTCTGTCACCTAAGCTGGAGTGCAGTGGCATGATCTTGGCTCACTGCAACCTCCACCTCCCAGGTTCAAGCAATTATCCTGCCTCAGCCTCCCAAGTAGCTGGGATTACAGGCCCATGCCACCACACCTGGCTAATTTTTGTATCTTTAGTAGAGACAGGGTTTCACCATGTTGGCCAGGCTGGGCTCAAACTCCTGACCTCAAGTGATCTGCCCACCTCGGCCTTCCAAAGTGTTGGGATTACAGGTGTGAGTCACTGCACCTGACTTGTGTGTGTCTTTGTGTGTCTGTTGTATGTCTCTGGGGGTATCAGCTGTTTCCCTGCATGGGAGGTTGTGGTGAATGTGGCTAATTCCCTGTTGGGGGGGCTGCTGCCTGTATATAAGACTGTGTCTTGGCAGTGCATGGTGTCTCAAACCTGTAATCCCAGCACTTTGGGAGGCTGAGGAGGGCAGATCACAAGGTCAGGAGTTGAAGACCAGCCTGGCCAATATGGTGAAAACCCATCTCTACTAAAAAGATACAAAAATTACCCAGGCATGGTGGGACGTGCCTGTAGTCCCAGCTAGAACAAAAAAGACTGTGTGTCTGTGCGTGTGTATGTGTGTGTGCCCCTCACAACCCAAACGAGCAAACACCTGTCCACCTTCCCAGCTGGCGGAGGGGCACAGGAGGTGGGATTCAGAATCACAGGCTCTTTCTGAGTATCTTTCTGTACTTTATTGTCCCTGCTGTAACAATGCTCATCATTCCTGAAAACGTCTTCTGAGGGGGCCTCGGCCAAGGCTGACTGGAGAAAAGGGGGCCAGTAACCCCTAGCAGGCTCTGCTGCCTGAGGCCTGGGTCTTCCCCCGGGGTCCTTGAATCTGGAGATGGCAGAGAGGAGGCAGGCCAGCTCCTTCCCCGGTCCTCCTAGGATTGCTGCTTCTGCCCATTCTCCCACTGGTGAAACTGAGGCAGAAAAAGCGGCTCAGCAGGGGGAAAGCAAGTTTAACCTTCCTGAATGGGGTCCAGGGACACTCCACATCTGCCACATAGCTTCTTGGGCTGGACATTTTTCCTGGGCACCAGCCAGCAGCTGGAGCAGCGAGTGCCGTATTTCTTGTACCTACGGTTGGGGGACAAGAAACTACCATTTAAGATGCAGTGGGGGCCCAGAAACCACTGCAGGAAACCACCTTTCCCAAGAGGTAGATTTTGTTTTGTTTTGTCTTGTTTTTTTTTTTTTT